CTTTGAGTTGTAAACTGAAAATTAAAGAAAAAAGTGTGAGTTGAAAGCTATGAATATTCTTTTTTCACTTACTAATAAAGGAAGAATCTTTGTCTCGCATAAGTCTTCCGATATTAAGTGCCAAGATTCCTTTACTTCGATTATTCAAGCATATTGATCAGTTTCGTGATGAAAAGATTTTATATGTGAGTAATCAAAGTTTTTGAACTCGATTTCCTATTTTTCTAAAAGAAAAACACCAATAAGAATATCAATTTCCTACTTTTCTTCCTTTCCTTCAACCATTATGCAAAAATTTTCAAAACATCGTTTTAAAATATATATCAAATAGCTGTACAATATTTGTTGTCTCTTGTTTCCGTAGATAACAATAATAATTTTCAGACTTTGGCGAAAGAGGTGATTTACATTGTTCTCTGAAACAAAAAATATATGTTTAAGAAATAACAATTCTTTTACTATATTGTATTTTATAATTCAAACATGTTTGATACATCAATATGTATTTATTTATTTGTGTAATTTTTAAAAGGTTTGTACTTATTGATATAGGGAACACGCGCAATAACTTAAACAAAAAGAATGAAGTAGAGCTACTTTATAAAGACCAAAGCCAAGCATCATAAAGGAAATTCTAGTCCTAAACTATACGCGATTAAATAACTAAACTATTAAACGACACAAAATCAAGAATCAATAAGCCAGTATGTACAAAAATCACAAGCTTAAAGTCGTTGATTATGCATTTCTTTTCATTTCATCACTATTTGATAAGAGCTCGACCTTACAATTTTATCTGAAAAAATGTACATATAAATATAACAACATTAGTATTTATTGTCCTAAAAAGACTCAGTTTATGAGGTCAAACTCTGGGAAGATTATCTGTGTGGTTAAATGAGTAACCCCGTCATAATATTTACGCCTTTACCATGGACAGTCAAAGTGATATGAAATCCTCAACCAAAAGTGTAAACACATCCCGTCAACCCAAAAATCTCATTTGAAAAGAATATTGATTTTAATGTCGAAAATAAAAAAAATACCAAGGATGAATGGGATAGTACTAAAAATGCATCAATCATCACCATATTTATCAGGAATCTAATTCCATCAGAAAAATCAAAATTTAATGAAATACATAATAAACGCAGTGATTAAAGATAATAAAATATGCAAATATATAAGCATGCATGCAATAAGAATGTGAATAACAACTTACTGCTTTGGTTGAAAACATCATATAGGCTTCTCCAATAAATGTACTAAAGCGAGATTCCTGCACAAAATTTATAGCTTTACAAGAAGCGATCACAAAGAAAGTCAAGTAGTGCTCTGGAAAAAGCATTCGATGGACAACAAATAATTTTGAGCTCCGCAAGATGAAATCCCAACATCATGTTGAATGTTGGATATTTTGTCCAATTTTTTTTTTTGCTTCTACCAATTATGGATTCAACGACCTCTCTACCCGTAGAACTAAAAAGATACTAAGGTAAAACATAAATAATTCCGGTAAACCGAGTTCTTTTGTTTTAATTTAGGAGAAATAACATGGAAGGTATATATTATAGTTATATTATATATTCTAAATAAGGAAAGATTTTATACCAGGTAAAGAATCTTAATTGAATTTAAACTTCTAAATATTTAGGAATTCTTAAATATTTCAAATAAGGGAAGTTTTAATAACCAAAATATTAGTTGATTTTAAAGTCAATTTTTTTTTAAAAATAATTAAATGCTAATTTTGTCTAATATTTTTTGAAAGGTAAACAGAAGTTGTTCAATTTATTTACTTGTTGCTAGAAGTCTTTCCATTTGAATAAGTAATGCTATCTTTTCCACTTAAACTTTTTGTGTGGAACATATTGAAATGTCTAAAAGATTCTTAGTTTGCATATTGAAACTATCTAAAAATTTCTTAGTTTGTTGTACTTATTTGTATTAAAAGTATGAAAATACAATGACTCTTGGCTCAAAAATAAGAATTAATGATATTTGTATGTTATAGAACAAATATAAATACTCTTCGTTCAAGAAATAGTAAAGTAAAATCTAAATAGATTGTGTTTTTTCCCTTACCTGTTTGATATTTCCACTCTTAATACCGTAGATTGTAATGTCCTAAAATATAGGACTTCCAACGTATTTTGTTTAAATAAAGAAGTTTTTTAATAATAAAATATATAGTTTCTTTCAAAATTATTTTCAAGATCTCAATATTAGAAAAATGATCATATGACAGTTTTGTCCAATGTGAAATCAATTTTTAAAGGTAAAAAAGGCGAACTATATTTCGCTAAAGGCCTTCGTGCTTTTAATATAATATAGATAAGTCCCTTACCGAGTTAAAAGGCAATTGGCATGTTCTTTTTGTTTTATTTTCTGAGTTAAGTCCAGACTGATTCCCAGTAATTGTAGATGTTTTGGATTATTTCTCGCTACGTCATTTTAGGTTTGTCTTGTCCTGATTTAGCATCTTCACTTACTGTATTGTTACCTATGGACTATTTGGAGGTTGACATGGGACATGGCAAAAACTTCTTGGGCGATCTTCTCCACCTTATCCTTTATGTATACTACTTACGTACTCTGTCGGATGAAACTTATTATATTATTTTAAATTTTGCGTAACATTTTTTTAACTAGCTTTTCACCTCTTAACATTCTCAAAGCTTGCCTTGTACTACTATAAAAGGGAAATAGTAAATTATCTTAATACAAAGGGCGTTAAAGCAAGGCCCCTTATAACGCAAATCTTCTGGAATGGGTTGGAATTCTTTTGTGACAACAGATTCGTGGGCTTGATACAGATGCAATGGCTTATCACCCATCTTAGGATCAATAGTTTCAGTTCGGCGATATTCGACTAATTCTCTTTTTCAGAATAAATAAGAAGCATTGTTGGTCAATCAATCCATTTACCTCTAGACACCTGATAATGGACTTAATTGGAAGGTGACTCAGAAAATATAGTGGTTTGACTGCTCGATCCAATTCCCTTGCATTAACGGATAATACAACTACTGAGTTGTGCATAACAATTCAATTATTTTTCTAAATAATTGCACAAGTCAGGTAGGCTAGATTCTTTGGGACTGAGGAAGTATGAATCTATACTGTCTTGTCTTTTTAGCTAATTGAGTTAATATATAATTATGACAAAATTGGTTGATAAAACTGACACTTGGTAGTTTCAGATACTTGGTCATCTGAAGGCTTCTCTTTAAAAATTTCAATGGATCAGCTGATTTCTTTCTGCTTACATCAGCTGAATGAAATGTATAAAAAGTTGTCCAACTCTCTGGGTATGTTGTTATTGTTATTGTTATAACTAATAATAACAAAGAAAAAAAAGAAAAAAAGAAGAAATATGAGAAGTTGCAAAATTATTTGAAAACACCATAAGCAACATGTTGGATGGTTGGAAAGCTCATAAGAGAAATGAGAGAGAAATAGTATAAAGAGAATAGTACAAAATATATATGAAAAAACAAAAACAAAAGACAATTAGAAAAGTAACATCATCTTGTAATTATAGAGTGTAATTACCACCGATTCTCACCAACCCTTTGAGAATTAGAGAGTGTAATTACACGCCCTCAATTACACTCAATTCCATCTTGACCAAGCAAATACTTAGCAAGACAAACATGTCAAACTGTGTAATTACACACAATCACTCAGATATTCAATTCCTAGGTGGCTTTCCAAACAAGCTCTAAATTAGCTTAAGAAGCTATTCTTCCTCTGTTGAAACTTGAAATAATGAAGGAACATCATAAGGCTACACATGGCTTTTCCAAACAGACCTTAGTGACACCATGAGGGATCAATATTTTTCCTAAGGAGAATATAAAATTGGTCAGTCAATTCATTCAGCATGCTCTTATTTTGTTGCTCTCTAATCTCTTATCACATATTTATCCCAGCCTTTTTGCTGTGTTATTCTGTTTTCACTGCCCAGTTATTGTTTAGTCACTGCCATTTATTCGGTGAGGTCCAGTGCGTTAGACTATGGATGGCACCTCAATAACTGACATATTAATTTGTTTCAACTTTCAACTTAGTGCTAGAAACTGTCTATGGCACTTATTTAAAGGCTTGCCTGTGGTCATGATGTGGATAATGTTCTGCTTGGCATTGATTGATCTGCATTTTTTCGTCGTGGTTTTGCTTCAGATCTAAATGTTGTTACCTTGATTCTCTGAATGCATCATATAAGATTTGTAAAATTTTATGGACTGTTTGAAACATCTTTTGGAGAAGTAGATGGAGTTAACTTTGCTGTCATTTATAAGATGCTGCGACTTGTGATGTATGCGACACATTTTTTGGGTGACTTCAGTTCAAATGCCATACCAGTCCGTTTGCAGAAGATTTAATTTTAACCCTTTTCAATTATTTCAGACGGTGAGAGAGAAATGCTTTGACAAGTGCATCACCAAACCAGGGAGTAGTCTAAGTGGGAGCGAAAGTAGTTGTGTCTGCAGGTGTGTTGATCGATATATCGAGGCCACTGGTATAATCAGCAAAGCTCTCTTCAGTCAACGCTGAAACTGTTGGCTTGCTAGCCCGGGAAATGCTGGAATGCATCTCTTTAATCATTATAAACTTTTGATACTCTTTCTCATTTCTCAACATTTTTAAAGATGGTATTCGATGAGCAATTTGTAAAAGCTGATACTCGGCAAACTTTTGTCCGTTGTGAATGGGCAGCACGAACTTTTATCTAGAGTATACTACCAAAACGCTGTTCCAAGTCCTATTGATTGAGATATATTATTGGTTGTCAATTAAGGACCACAGGGGCAATGTCACCCTTTTATCGTCATATTTTGATTCGGCATAAGATATTAGTAGTAAGTATTTATGGAAATGATTAGGATCGATATATCTTGTGGATCAATTAGGTTTGATGTCCTTCAATCTTACTAAGTAATCGGATAGACTTTTGCAAGTTCAGTTTCTAAGTAGAAACAGAAAACATCAGGACATACATGCAACCGAAGATAGAACATAATAGATCAGCACCAGCAAGAAGTACAAACATTGATTCATGTCCCGAATGGAATGATATTGAATATGTTAATTCTGTAATAATATATTACCCCTTTTCCCACCAAACTGTCAAAAATAAATACAAAAGAAAATTATGAAAAGAAAAACACAACATTCTAGCTGCAGCGGAGGATGATCCTCAGCAAATTGCCACGGTAGCTAAATCATACAAATGACTTGCAACAGTCTCACTTCCAATAATATTAATACTTTGGTAGAATGCTCCATAAAACATCCAACTACTTTCTCAGTGTCTGTAATATGTATTCGGCATAAAGGTCCCTGCACGAAAGTAACAAGACAAATGTTTAAAATCTTTTAAACACAAAACATTGGCTCAAATTACTATATTTTTAACATATGTATGCACATCCCAATTCAGCATGAAAGAGTCAAAAGCAGACGTCACTGAGATTAGTAAAAACCATGCGTAAACATCATATCTAGATCATACATGGAGTACTGGATGGCGTCGACAGCAGTATTTGGAGGCAGGAACTCGTTAACAGCAACCTCCTTGTTCTCAAGCTTCTTATCTAGTGACAGTGAAGAAAATTATACATGTAGAAAGTTTGCTAGGAAATTCATAAGAGGAGCAAATTAAAAGATGGAGGGCATACAGTCTTCAAAAAAGCGGCGGATTTCTGCCAGGCGGTGAGGGGCAAGCTGGTTGATATCAGTGTAGTGCCGATACTCTGGATCATCAGCGCACACGGCAATTATTTTATCATCCTTCTCACCCTGGATAGATGAAGAGATTTTGTCATTCCTTTATCATTAGGACTTGATAATAAAGGTCCAACCTGAGACATAAAATAATATATAGGAACCTGATCAATCATAGGCATCAGACCTATGGCCCTAGCTCGAAGGAAACAACCTGGGAGGACAGGCTCCTGTTGACAAAAACAATTTCAATTCAATTAGTATGTAGAGGCTACTTTGTTATGGATTAGATTGGACAAAAATACAGTCACAACACTATACAGTTTTAGATTTTGTATGGAAAGACATTCATCTCTCATTGGCTTACCTGCATGAGGACTAGTACATCCATGGGGTCATTATCCTCACATAATGTCCGAGGAATGAAGCCATAGTTCTGGGGGTACACCATTGATGAGTATAGGACACGATCAACCTGAATATAGATGGTATATAGAAGGAGATTGGTTATGCGTCTCTTTGAAACAAAACAAGAATGACAAGGCAATGCCATTGACCATGTAACAGTATTGCTTAATTCTACCTTATAGGTTGGATCATTTGTATCATACCTTAATGAGACCAGTTTTCTTGTCAAGCTCGTATTTGACTTTACTACCTTTTGAAATCTCAATGACCTGTAAGGATGAAGCCAGTAAGTAAGCCAGGGGACTACCAATAAAAGAAGTGTTTGAATAACAAAGATAACAATATTGCCATTTTTCTTTTACTCTGCTATGTTGTTCCCAACAATCCGATCTCATTTCCCCTTTTCCCCCACCATAATCAACAAGCACAAACAAGGAAAAGAAGGATTAAATAAGAAGCTAGTATCATTTTTATTGGCAGATGGCAACAATCATTTTGCAACTTTCCATGATAAAATCGGAACACAGAATATAATCTACACCTAAATAGAAAATAGTTTTCCTATGCTGAATAGGAATACATATTATCCTAGGTAATTGCAGTTATTCAGACATCATTTGAGCTAACATTTCGTGCTTGTATATCAACAACTATACTTACAACATTGAAAACCTTTGGAGCTTCAGGTCCTGCATAACACAAAAAGGAATGATCAGATGTATATATGTATGGTGATAGTGAAATTAGTGAAGAATGAAAGAGATCGAGTAGGGATGAGGAAGCTACCAATCTCAAGATCGTGCCAAGGGTGAGCAGCAACAGACCTCCTGGACAATGATGAGAGGATCCTCTCATTCAAGCGAGGGGCGCGTCTATGTTGGGATACCTGATCATCACTCATTTTTACCTGGTAAACTTGAAATTAAAGAAAAAGTCAAAATAATGGACAAGTAGTACATGATCTGACAAATCTGTATGGCTCAAGATTAATTCACATGATGATGATGATGGAGGAGGAGGAACCGCTCCTCAAATAACTAAAATCGATCCGAAACATAAAAAATATAGCAGCTATGGAAATAAAAGGGGATACAGGAAAAAGGAAAATGGACAAGTTCGTAAATGCATGTAAGGAATAGAAAGTAGAGGGGAAATTACAATGTTACACACCTTGGATTGAAGGAAGGCAGAAAACAAATAAAGAGATGAAAATGAAGAAGAAAAATGCTCAAGTTGAATGATCTTTTTGGGTGCTTGTCTCTGTATATATAATATAGCGCAGCTCCCCTATAAGGTGAAACAAGACAGCTTTCCACGCGGGGCGGGGAGAAGACCGATTCCCTTTCCTCTTTAAACTTCAATATTTAAGGCCCACCTTTTCCTTCTTCATTAACATGCATTAAGTGTAGTAGTATATGTTGGATTCACCTACCAATTTTCAAAGCCATCAGATAGAAGAGGAAAAAGAAAAAAATTACCTTGCAAAAACATTGGTCAGCAGTATTACTTAATTTCGGTAAATATATATGTTACACCAAACCAAGCAGTCTAACCATGAAATTCATTATTTAAAGTGCGGATGCATATCACTTAATCATAGTTAAGAAAAAATAAATTATATACAGGATATATGTCGTGTATTCATTTGCTTGGTGTAAATACCGAGTGCGGAATTATTTTTACCATTTCTTAGTTCCCATACTAATCATACGTAGTAATTTAGGGTTCATTTTGACATTTGAGATTACAAAAGGAAAAAAGATCACATCTAAAGCATTAGTACATGGTTTTTTAAATAAATTAAAGTGCATGATGACCGTTACACCTCTGTATACCATATTTTAGATGTCTTATATTTTCATAATTGCATTCACGTCCCAGACTAAATTAGTAGTGCTTAGGCTCGTTTCGAACGCGTAGACAGCGGTAGAGATACTTCTCTGTTTGTTCCCAATTTTTCATTTCCAGCCAGACATGTTGACTTTTAGGCACTTGATGCATCTTTCTCTTTCTTACAATCTTCTAATTTATTATTTTATGAGTAGTACTTCTTACAATGTAGACAGGATAACCCTAAAACATATATCTATACTATTAATAAAGTTTCGACCTGTCAATGACATGGAACAACGTTTACCATTGCCAAACAGAAAGTCCTTGTTTCACCCTTTTAACCGGTCCGACCTGGCTATGCTTTGTATATTACTCCACTATTATGTAGCTATCTATTTCTGCACTAAAGCTTCAAAAATCAAAGGTTATATTGCTGTATTCATAATTTTCCAATATATTAGGCTGTCATGTCCAATTTACAATACATAACAACAACGTGAAATTCTTAACAACTTACATTTAAAGCTAGAAGGGGAACCTTGGTGTAACTGGTAAAGTGGCTGCCATGCGATATTAGGCCACGGGTGTGAGCCGTAGAAACAACCTCTTGCAGAAATACATGGTAAGACTGCGTACAATAGACCCTTGTGGTCCGGCCCTTCCCCGGACCCCGCGCATAGCGGGAGCTTAGTGCACCGGACTGCCCTTTTTTACATTTAAAGCTAGAAGTCATAAACATTATGATATACGCACAAATGAAATATACCACGATTTGTCCTCTCTTTTTGAAGAATGTATTAGCTTTCTTATTAGTAAACGTTTTGTGCCGTTGAAACATGACAAATGGTGTAGTTGAAACATTTCAAGCAGAAAATCCCCCGGTAAGTTGATTTAATTTTCAATTGCTGTTTAGTTTGTAGCAATGAAATGTTTCTTCTTCAGTTTATGGTTAAAACATTTTGTAAAGTAATATGCACTTAAGCTTAAAAGTGACAAAAGCAAGATGTGCCCTCAACTCAACGGGGAGCACGAACGAGGTAGCTTACGCTTTTTTTCATCTACCTGGTTTATAGTCCAATCACTTCACCAGTCTACTGATGAATAATGAGAATGTTATATTGCCCAGGTACTTGGAGAGGGGCACAATTAATTGCTTTAACCACAGTCCCCAGGATTTGAATTTCTCCTTTCTCAGTCACAGCTCATGGTTGGTTCACATCAGCACTTTAGAGAGTGTCTAGGCATTCATCATATATTCAAAAGAAATAAGGAATGAAAGATCAAGAGAGATTATTGAAACAAATGGAAAACCGACTATCCAACAGCGACACACCCCTGGCTGACAAAGACTTTAAGCTTTCCACTGCCATTCTGTAGGCAATCTACTTCTCTTCCAATTGCTTCTAATCAATACAAGGCTAATGTGATTGACACTGGTGCTCAAAGAACCGGGAAAAATTACATGGTAATAGAAAAAGGCAAAACTAGTATATAAGTTCTTTCTTTTTAGGTTCAAGAACCGGAGGGTCAATGTCAATTCCCATATTTGCTGCAGTGCCAGCTATAATCCTCATTGCAGATTCAATTGTAGTACAATTAAGATCTGGCAACTTCTCTTGAGCAATTGTCTTCAATTGATCGATAGTTATTTTCCCCACTTTCTCCCTCTGTGGGTCCTTTGAACCTTTTTCCACTCCTACAAAGTTACAAAGATATTAGTCCATTAGTGTCCTCACAGATTTACATCTTTCATAACTAACCAAAAATCTCAGAGTCCAAACTTTTGTATGCAGCCACAGAAGATAGAGTAAGTATACAACGACAAGTTCACATCTACAATATCTACCACTTTGAGTGGACACCTGACTTCCAATTGTGTAATTATACTTTATCTTCTAGGGATAATAAGGGTCTTATTCATCAAGATGATCAAGCACTAAGTAGTGCCATTTTTCCTGAAGAAAGGAAGGAAAAAAAGAACATGGGGTGGTGGCGTCCTCATTATACAAAAGAAAGGGCATATCCCCGGTATACAAAAAAGACCTATTAGAACAAGCTAATGAATTCTAACATTTTCTCTTCAAGTTGTCTAATTACACTTGAAGAGATCACCAAACTTATTTCACCCACTGCTATCAGCTTTAAATATTACTACCTTTCATGTTACCATAATCAACTGTACCAAAAGAATAGTGCTTATCCAAGGAACCAGGTGAAACAAGGATACTCCACATAGTGGGATTGCATTCTTAGGATTCCCAATGGAGTAGGTTAATTCAGCAATGATGTTGTCAATCCTAACACCAAATGCTTAAATCTACTACCTGTTTTTGTTGATCATAGAACTATAAGTAGAGAGCCGCAGCCAAAACATAAAAAAATTCGGCAGGTCTGTCATTCTCCAACCAGAGAGAGAGAGAGAGAGTCACAGTTTTTCTAACCATCTAGCAGAGCAACATGGGAAACCAAAGAAGAGAGTTTGCCATCTGAGTATATTATTAAACCTACATGTCTATATCCTACTATAAAAACCAAAATACTATGGAAGGAGGGAAAATCGTAGGATAGTATATCAAGTTGTAGTCTTCGAGGGCGTCTTTTGTTTACAAAGTGCACAGTGAGACATTTACCTGTTATCAACCAACACCTGTTCAAATACCCGAATCAAGCCAAGATCATGGGGTAGTATATTGAGTTGACTTCAAGGGCGTCTTTTGTTTAGAGAGTGCACAGGAGGCGTTTAACCGTTTCCGGCCAATTATATCCCTTCATCTTCCTTGCTGTCATAAAATCCCATGTCTGTAGACTATAGACTTTTTCTAATATCTTCAGACTTATAGTCTATTGAGCCAAAGCAGATTTTATGAGTTTCATGATCTCAAATTGGAATAAAATATTTAGGGACTTCTGGCAGACAGGTCCACTAGTTGCTCTTGTACATAGAGATCCAGTGGTCATATGCAAAATGCAGCCACGACAATTGAAGTTGAGGACAACAAGCAAGGGTGTGGTAGTAATAGGCCAGGATATGATGGCCTCATCCAAAACTAGCTTGACATGACACTTGATATTGCACATTGATTCGGCACCAGAGTAGCCACCTCAACTAACCGCGAAGTCCTTGAGCATATTATCTCGGATAATAAGACTTTGAAGGACATATGCCAAGACTATTTGGCGGCACTTATCAGCAGATCAAGTGATCAGCATTCTTCTGTCCTTTCTTACTGTCTTCACTAGGTTGACGACAACGTGCCTATGTGGCTATATCCGTGTGCAAGCTAAACGGAATTCATCTCTTCCACTAACTCTAAAGGAAAAGCGGAGAATCTTTTAGGTATCCTGACTTCCCTCTAAACTAAACCTTAGTAGTAAAGCATGTGGATTTAAAGTGTTAAATCGCCAAAATTAAAGTAGTTGAGGCTGAAAATGAATTCAATGAAATATCTGCAGCGAGTTATGAGATGAAACAATTAGCAGAAAGCATCAATCAGAGGGGATGGAAGGATTCCTCAGTAGTTGATGCAATCACATTATAGGACAATGTCTGAGTAAATTATATATCAGAGGAGTTGGAAGCAGCAAAGCGAGTGTACCTGCAGCCTTGAGCAGCAAAACAGAAGCAGGTGGGGTCTTCAAGATAAAAGTGAAGCTTCTATCCTGCAAAACATGAACACCATAATCAAATAACAAAAGTATCATCTTTAATTATCAAAAAAAAATATATATAGACTTTAAAAATTAGAGATTAATGAAGGGAAAGCAACAGACATCGTAGACGGTGATTTCGACGGGAATGACATAACCAGCTTTATCAGCAGTCCTGGCATTGTAATCCTTACAGAAGGCCATAATGTTAACACCCTTGGAACCCAAGGCCGGCCCCACTGGTGGAGCCGGGGTTGCCTTCCCTGCCTCCAGAGCCAGCTTTATAATACCAGTCACTGTCACAATATTCAACAACGATTGAATTTTTGTTTTCCTTATCACAATTCGGCGAGACTTAAATCTAAACAAGCAAAACGAAAATAAGTAGTACCTTTCTTGGCTTTACCACCACCAGGCTTAGGGGGAGCCATGGAAATGACAGTGAGAGGCCTTGGAGTGGATGGAAGGGAACAAGTGTTTTTGTTGTGGGTTTGAAGGAACTGAACAGAGACGCGTTGGAATGAAGACAAATTAAGGGATGAAGGTGAAAACGAGGAAGAGAATTTCCCTGAATGATTACAAGTTGATAAAGACGCCATTTCTAACCAAGAATTTGGAAAAGAAGAAGAAGAAGAAGAAGAAGAAGAAAAGGAGAGAGAGAAGTGGATAACACTGCTTGGCAGTGCTACCTTCTCCTATCTGTAGCCAGATTCCTATTTGGGCCTCTCTGCTAACTTCCTACAGTTGGGCTGGGTCTTGTTTAGAGTCCAATGGCCCAACATAGTTCCGATATAAAACAGTTTTTAAATGGAATTTTTAACTCCTATAGCAAAGGTTGATACCTTATTTATTTTAAATAAATACCCTTTTAAAAAATTATATTTCATAGCTATCTTTTAATTTTTATATCCAAAATAACTATTTTCGGTTACCTCCTACCCTTAAGCCATAAAATATTCTTTGTATTATTTTTCTCTTTCTTTCAGATTTTTCTCCACCCTCTCTCTCTCTCAACGCCAATCTTTCTCGATAGAAGATAAACTCGTCGAAGAAGAAGTACTATGTTAAAGTGTATCCAACTCCTTTGCCGTCGTCAACCCTCTTCGGCTCCGATTCTCGTTCTCATCAAAATGGCGACATCAAATTTTTATTACGAGAAACTGCAAAATGTGTGTAATTGAGGGGGGGCTTATGCTTGATGGGTTTGGTAAAAGTTGTTAATGGGGAAGAAAAATAGTGGCACTAAACAGAAGCTGCCATTGAATTTACAAGTAGTTATTGTTAGGTTTGTTCTCGCATAACTTTGCTTTTTATTGCCGGAATAGTATCATAGTAACGGGAACAATGACGCTTTGAGTCAGAATCGCGGCCCTCTCGACAAGACGACATTAGGTTGTTCTTGAACAAAGACAACGGAGTTTGGGGCTGAGCAAATTGAAGATTCTGTTACCTTTTTTTTAATGTGTATTTCAATGTATCTCGCTGTATTTCATTGTATTCATTATTTTTTTTTAATTGTTGTTCAGTGTATCTTGTTGTATTTCATGTATTTCATTGTATTCACTGTCTCGCTATATTCCATGAATGTATTCATATAATTTTTTTAATTAATATAATTTATGTATGTAGATGTATATATGGATTCAAATGTATCTGCAGTATGTATTCCTATATTTTTGCATTATAGATGACCTGCTATTCTTCATGTATTCAATTTTTTTTTATGTATTTAACTATATTCAATGTAATTATATAATTTCTCTTAAGATTGCTATGTTTATAGGGTATTTTTCGGTTGAGAATCTTTTTTATAACTGGAAATACAAATTTTGTATGTTATAATTGAGTTTGTTGAGTTATATTGGGAGTCTATTATGTTTATTGATTCACTTTCCGTTTAAAAACAGCTGAATATACCATGAATTGCGCCGTGAATACAATCGAATACAGTCGAATACAATACTGTCTAGCTGTAATTCCATGTTTCACCAGGTGAATACAGTCGAACAGAATAATCTGTCTAGCTGTAATCCCCTTTTCACGCCGAAAAAATGCTACTGTATTCATGAATACAGTAGCTTAAATACATCGAATACACTCTAAAAAAATCTGAAAACATAACTATAGGAAGTAATATAGTAAATGGTAGCTACAACTAGTTAATAACCACTAAAAGAGTGGTTTCTGAAAGTTTCCCTTTTTAAATTATCCAATTGTATGGACCTAATAATTAATATGGAACCCAACACTAAAATATGAAGAATTAACCCAAATAGCCGGTCATCCAACCACTTAAACTACAAATAGCCGGTGGAGGTATAATATATGCATAATTTATGTATTATATATGTATAATTGTGTATCATCGATGTATAATCTATGTATATGGCGAGAAAAAATAAATAATGAATATGGCCGACTATTTGTGTAAAGATCCCCTAAAATATTGTGTGTGGACCTAAAATACTTCTTGTAGCTTATACGCGCAATCACAGAAATATGTAGAAACTAGAAAGTTATTAATTAAGCTTGTGTAGACCCCCGCAGGGAAGGATGTTCCAAAATATTAGGGGTGTTCATGGTTCGGTTTGGATCGGTTTTTCCCTGAAAAGAAACCAAACCAAGTAAGTCGGTTTTTCAAATATTAGAACCAAACCAAGCCAATTAAGTCGGTTTTTTCTCGATTCGGTTTATGTCGGGTTTTGTCGGTTTTTCGATTTTTTTCGGTTATTTATCGGTTTTTTCTTAAATATAAGACATACACTACCAAACACATATTCCGGCGACCATATTTTTAACATAACACTATCAAATCAATTGCCCTTTGAGAAATCTATTATTTACTAAAATATATTAATGATAATTGAATCAAATAGTGATGAATAATTTAAGGACTCAATTAAAAAAATATTTTTTTTAACATGAAATGGATTCTTACACTTACAAAAGAAAACTACCAATCAAACTAGAATATAAAGGTAAAAAATTGTACTAAAAGTGCAAACGATTAACATTCACCATACAAATTTTGAATACTTTGTATAAAAATATACATATATATAGGTGTAATAATAAATTTGAAATAGCTACTCCTATAGTCGGTTTGGTTCGGTTATTTTTTGATTAAAACCAAAACCAAACCAAAAAGTATCGGTTTTTTTGGTCGATTTGGTTTGGTTTTCAGTTTGATTCGATTTTTTATGAACACCCCTACAAAATATATGGTATTTTTTATTTTTTGAGAATCAATTTGACTTCAAAGCTAAATTAGATTAAATTAATTCATTATCGTAAAACTAAAATTCAAAATATCCGAAAACTTTGTGAAAAGCACTACTCCTATTAATTTGCAGTTCTTCTAATATCAATATGGTGAAATAAATCTTGAAATGTTGACTAAAGTTCAAACAAATGAAACCTAGGGAAGCAAAAAATACCAAACAATTCGGAAGTACAGACGGAGTCCACAACATGAAATTTTTAAAAATTTATTCCTTTATCATGACATAATTACAGATGGCGTACGTAACAAGAAATTTTTAAAAAGTTATTCCTTTATCATGACATAATTACAGTAAGTTCTTTTTGTCGTATATTACACCCTTAATATCGTCAAAGATTGAATACAAGATGCTTGTTCTTCTTCATGCATAATTAGGGAAGTTTTAGTCCCCTTTTACTATTTTTTTATATTTAAAATTACTACATTGGGAGATCGAGGATGAAGAGAGAAGGATAAAAAAGAGAAATGAATAGGTTTCAATCATTTATATGCATTATTAAAGACTAGGTACTCAAAAACGGAGTTAGCCTCAACTCCTACGAAAATTATTGTTGCTTCTATAAAATTGCACCCTTTATGACGAGTGACGCGTTAATTGAACTGACTAGTGTCCAAGTATTTGTGCGACTCCTTTTTCTCTCAAAATTTGTGTACCCCAATCTTACACTTTTGGGTCGATAAATATGGGTCTACAAAACTGTGAGACAAAAAAGATGCCTCAAACAATTAGTGTCAGTTGGAAAATTTTATTTTGTGTCTCATACAACTGACACTAGTTGTATGAGGCATCTTTTTTGTTTCACAGTTTTGTGGACCCATAAGTGTAAGATTGGGGTCCACAAATTTGTGAGACAAAAAAGAACCTCACACAACTAATGTAAGTTGTGTGAGACACACAATAAAACTTCTCGTGTCAGTTTATGAGACACAAAATAAAATTTTCCCAAAAACTGAAACATAGAAAGTATATCATCCATCACTGTTTACTGTTATAGACTGTACTTACTCTTTTGGTATGATTGAAGCTACATATTTTGGTATCATGTGTTTAGATAATCAATTCTATAATCCGGTAAGTCCTTCCCATTGTTACCAAAAAAAAAAAAAAAAAATTATTACGTAGAATCGAGAAGATATTTTTATGTTTCTTTCCTCTATCTCTTTCTTGTTTGTTAGCATTTGATGACTGGCAGAATAACTAACAATTAAAAATAAACACAGAGAGGGGAAAGGGTTCTTTTATTAATATTAAGAAAAAGAAGGGCTGGTAACATTATATTATATTTATAAGAAAGAAGCTGAATGGACCCAAAAGCAATTAAGAGCAGATTGTCAACATTCTTCCACTATTAAATAGGCACATAATTAATGCTGTAAAGCAAGACAAACGTCATATCAGGATAAAGATGAGGATCTATTGATGCTTATTCTTTTTCTTCTTCTTCTTGAATAGGCGGTAATCCTCTGTAATTCCATTCGTGTGCTTTCCATTCAGGAAGTTGCTGAATGACCATCTGTGCAAAAGAGATTATTAATTTACACCACATTTTAGATCCCAATATAATTAAATAATTATATTAAGCATGGAAATATATATATATATATATATATATCCATAATTACTCCATACCATGCCTCTAGAATCGGATTTACCAACTATTGCCTGGCAAGCTAGCCTCCAATTCTTTGGATGCTGAAAAATATAACAGATCAATGTAGAATAATATTATATACTCCACTGTGGTAATTAAAGTAGTTAAATTGCTCAAGAAATGAAGATTCATATATACCCGTTTTAATTCATCGTGATTGTTCTCCTTGTCAGTACGAGGATTCAGTAGCTCCTTTCCTTCAACAACCTGAATATTAATACAGGTACTATAAGATACTTTAAAACAATATGGAATATATATATATATATATATATATATATATATATATATATATATATATATATATATATATATATATATATATATAGTAATCAAAGCTTAAGGCAAGGCAGTAATTAATAAAACGTGTACGACCTAATGAGATGTATGTATGTATATGGCTCACCTCAACCAAACATGTCCCACAAGTTCCTCCTCCCCCACAATTAAGCAAAGGCCTCGCCTTATAAGAGGAAATTAAGTTGGTAAATTAAAGCAAGTAATGATGAATGAAATTTATAAGATATACAACTATATACGTACATAAGGTCCATACAACTCAACATTAGCATCCAGCATTATGTCTCTAAGTTTTTGACCGCCACAAGCTTTGCGGAGCTGCACGTCTGGTGTCCCATCTGGTAGTAATACTGACTGAACAAAGAATACATATTATACATATACCACGTCTACTATTAATAATTACCAACACAAACATGTACAATTTTACTAATTAATAGTACTACTCACGCTGACAAATGCAAATTTCACAGAAGCCTCTTCTTCATCTACCTGTGCTGCTCCAACACTAGCCTTTTCTGGAACAGTACCAACTGCTCTGATTTTCGTTCTACAAAAACTCAGGCTCGGAGAAGCTACCTTCTTGTTTTTCAAAATACACGATCGAGATACCGAAGCTAAGGCACTAGAGGAGTATATTTCAATTGCCTTCATTTTCTTATACAAGTGATAATATTGATATTGATAATGAAAATAACACTTTTCCAGATACACTCTCCTAGTGGTTGATTCATAGGGAACACATGTGTTATTTTCTTTTTTTATATGGCTCTCCTTATCTTATCCGTTGGTGAACTATGGGTCTGAAATAGGCCCAAATTTGGACTTCAAAACCTCCTAAGCCCAGCAAGAAGACCCATTCAAAGTGGGAGAAATTCAAAAATAGCCAGATTTACCACTGGTCGTTGAAAAATAGCCAAGTTTCAAAAGTCATCGAAATTTAGCTATTTTAAATCTGAGCGAAAACACTGTTCAAAATCCGGAAAAATACGCCCGCAAATTTTACGGGAGTTCCAGCATAAGTATGCTTGAACTCCCGTAAATTTTACGGGAGTTCCAGGATAACTATGCTGGAACTCCCGAAAATTTTACGGGAGTTCAAGCATAATTATGCTGGAACTCCGCAAATTTTATGGGAGTTCCAGAAAGTATAATTGTCCAGTATAATATACTGGAGTTTGGAGCACTGGTGCTCCAGTCTCCCGCAAATTTTACAGGAGTTAGCAAAGTATACCGGTCCAGCATAATATGCTGGAATTCGTACACAAATGCACCAGAACTCCCGTATATTATACTGGACCGGTCCCTGTTGCAGCAAAATAGTGGCTATTTTTCATTGACTTGATAAACGCTGGCTATTTTTCATTGACCAGTGTGAAAACTGGCTATACCATGATATTTTAACATTCAAATTTGAGAAATGACGTACGAGTCCAGAAAAATTCAAAATTCAACAATATCTTGATCTTTTAGAGATTTGATCAGTTCTTCTAAAGCTCTATTGGGTTTCTAGAAGCTCTGTTGCATAATCCAATCATCCCCCATATACTATTATCTTCGGCCAGTGCGATGAATGATGATGAAGCACACTCTCTTTAAACTAGGAGTATTTCTTTTCCCAATTACATCATTTCTCTGGTCACTTTTATTGTCCCACAAACGAGAAAACAACAACTAATAAAGACGAAATTAACAGAGCAACTTAGAGGGAGTAATTACAGCTTTGCCAATATTAATTATTGCCATTCATCCTTATAAAAAGAATTCTTCTCATCATCGGTTTTATTGCATACAAGAATATAGTTTAAAATAGAATGTTTCGAATCTTCTGCTTAGTAATAGTTGTAATTAGTTTAAACAAGATTTGCCAAACGTTATACACGATACTTTTCGTGTAAATATTTTGTTGTTAAAATGTATACAAATATTTGTGGACTTACATGTTCTCGTCAGTCGTCATCATGTTTAGACCCTCACTATTTTCATTCTTTTTTTAATAATCTAATAAAGTGAAACCTGTTATAAATAGAATTGTATTTATGGTGAATGTCCATATTTAGAGAGATTCTAGGGTTCATTGCTTGGTGGCTAAGTCACCCTCTCCCTATAAATAGAGGCTTCTATTCCCATTGTAATTCATCCCAAAATTCAATATCCTCTCTACTTTTCTCTGCAATACTCTTCTTCTTCTTTTATTGTTTTATAACACGTTATCAGCACGAGACTCTAACCACTTGAGTAAAAGCTTTGGGATTGAGCATAATGACTGTCAATTATTCCATGAACTTCCTTCATGATTAAATTCTGGATTTAAAGTAAGTATTTTACCGTATTTTTCTCTTTTATTCTATACTTTGATTTTAAATACAAGCAAAGACAACAAAGTTTGATTATAACTCTAATGGAGTTTGTAAGAAATTATAACCACCCGAAGTGGTAAAAGTTTCTATGTCTTGCCATGATCAAATTTATGTATGATTATGGGCACAAAAAGTGGAAACCCGTCCCATTGAATTTGTTCCATTCTCATTCCCTTAAGAGAATGTGATAGCAGTATGTGATAAGTCTGAAAGAAGACAAAATTATCACTATGAATGTATCAATGGATGTGGACGTGGCAATAGATGAAATTATAATCATCATCATTGTGATAATGAGAATAATAAGGATTCTCAAAATAATCCCCCACTTGTGAAAGTAATATTTGTCATCGATTTGACATGAGATTTTATAAAGCACATATAGATGATTATGGTCCATTCATGATGTGAATGTGATAACATCTTATTTATGAATACATATTCATTCTTCAAAGAATATGAACGTGCTAGTGGTAGTGAATATACCGCACTCACCTCTAAAAGGAGGTTTGAGATGATATAAGAAAATAATGTCATTATTATGGCATGAATGGTCATTGGTCACGTACCTATTGTACGCCAAAATATTTTGGCATTGTGATTATTAAAAGTTAACGGTAATGCAAGAAACAGATCTTGCATATAATTTTGACCATAACCATAATGGTATAACTTTCTCTTTAAAAGAGATATTCACCATATGGGTGTTGATGAATATGTGGTACTACAAAATTAATTAAGAACTCTACAAGAGCCAATTATACTATTTTGGAGAAACACAATTAATTACCAATAAGGTATTGTGTTGTAGTAAGTCTCAAAGAAACTTATTCAGTTTCCAAAGTATACGCGAAAGCGATTGATTATATTGAGACTATAAATAAAGGAAAGATTTAATATCTTCTATTACTACAACTTGTAGCGGGGTATATGTATGTGAAAAGCTACCCGCTTTATTCTCCAGTTTGTACTACACAAACAAAAGAATGCCACAATAAAAGGAAGTTTATTGATATAAAAACCCATATCATAATAAACTTGGAGTTTATTGATAATTGTACACGTCATGGTGTAAATATGAAGTTTATCAATATTGATAATTTATTCAGTTGGCATAATTGGTTTACCCATATCAATTTAAGTATGATGTGCAAAAATAAAAGAGAATTCACATGGGTAAATATTAAAGAACTAGAAAGTTCTTTACGAATTCTATTATGTTGCATGTTCTCATTATTTAATATACCAACTAAAATTGGGATTGAATCCCATGAATGCTGGAAATATAAAAGGTGAATATGGGCCCGTTCACCTGCCATGTATACCACATAAGATGCATCTATGAGATGGTTACATGTGCGATTATTATTAACCCGCAACATGGTATTTTGCGAGGTAACTTGCTCAATAATTTAATTTCGAGCATAATTTCCAGATTTTCTATTCAAGAAGTTCATCTTGATAAGTTGGTTTACATCACAGTTGGTTTAGCAAAATGATTTATTGAGTGCCTCTATTTAATAGCTAAACAATTGCTTATGAGAACAAAGTTATTTATATCAGTTTGATATACGTTATATACGAAAGTATATTATTTTCTTCCCTCACAAGTGGTTCAGGGTCAGGAACCAATAATTCCATCTTATTATTATTGATGTGCGGTGTATATTTTGATTAACACCATAACGCACAAAGGTGGATTCTCAAAGTTGAGGTAACAAGTTAGTTTTTCTAACATGAGGGGGAGACATGATAAACAGTTGAGAAAAAGTTACATGGAATGAATTATTATTTATACATCTCGATCCTCGAATAAGATAATATGAACTTTAAGTTCATAGAGATAATTCATTTGCAATATATTGCAAAGCATGCCAGACGCATTTGCTGACCCAAAGAAAGTAACTATATTCTCATTGCAAATGCTCTTATTAAATCCTAGAAGGACAAAGTCTATGGTACGTTTAAAGCGTATAGACAATCGGTTTCAAATAAACTTCTTGTTAAAGAAGATGAGCAAATGATCAAAATGATCATAATAAAGGAGGCAAGTGATCTAGAAGATCACATGACATAACACTTCATAAAATCTCATGAGAGATTCAAGTACATGAATATATGAATGAAGAGATCTCTATGTTATGTCTTTATGAAAAAAATATTGAAACCGATATAAAATGTTTGTCGACAACATCTATGATAGCGCTAAATATATATGAGCATCTTAAGTCTAGAGAAACAATTCAAGTAGAATTGGTTTCATATGAAAGACATGTAGTTCTGGAACTGCAATTCAAACACTTGAAAGTATAAGTCAATGGTATGTGCAATCAGTTTTCGATATCTCATATGTCTAGCATGACATGAAAACTTGATATGCATCTAAAGTCTATTATATGGCTTATATGACTTAACAATCCCTAAAGGATTTAAATTGCTTAAAGCATATAGAATTCTTGGTCATGAAGTACTACATCCTCAGTGCAATTTGTCCACAAATGTATCTTGCTATAACTATATGCATGATAATATGATAGCAAGAGTTTTCACCTCTATGTGAAGATATTGAACTGACGATTCCAACAAGATCATATGAAGACAATTCATCTCTATCAAGAATGAGGATTTCAAGGTGCAATATATTCATTCAACTTAATATGGCTGATTTGTTCATCAAATCTCTACCAAAGATCTTTTGAAGATGGTGCACAAGATTGAAATGCAAATGCTCAAGGATGTGAATTGATGCTCTCATCAGGGGGAGTTAATACGCGTTGTACTCTTTTTCCCTTACAAGGTTTTGTCCCAATGGGTTTTCCTTGCAAGGTTTTTAACGAGGCAACCAAAAGGCGTATTATTAGATATGTGTACTCTTTTTCCTTTTCTAGAATTTTTTTCTCATTGGGTTTTCTTTTAGTTAAGGTTTTAACGAGGCACATTATCTGTTGAATAGACATTCAAGGAGGAGTGTTATAAATAGAATTATATTTATGGTGAATGTCCATATTCAGAGAGATTCTAGGGTTCATTGCTTGGTGGCTAAGTCACCCTCTCCCTATAAATAGAGGCTTCTATTCCCATTGTAATTCATCCCAAAATTCAATAAGAATTCCCTCTCTACTTTTCTCTGCAATACTCTTCTTCTTCTTTTATTGTTTTATAACAAAACCAGGACTTTCAAATTATACTTTCCATTTTGTTTAATTTAGTAACTAATTAGATAGTCAACAACATTTTTTTAATCGTGATCTTCTTTATTTTTCCTTGTTTATTTCCTGTAAGTTTAGAAGAAAATTAATAGTCGATGTCTTCGTTCTACTATTGGTAGTACTCCCTCCGTTCACTTTTACTTGGTGTTTACCTCGAAAATACGAGTAACAGTTAAATTTGGTTTGTAGTTTTAAAGATACGTGATTAGATTCAATACTAATTAATAATCAAGAAATATGAAGTAGAAGTGAAAGAAATAAGTGAATCAAACCAATAAAACTCAGCAGCAGTAACCTCGAGCTTAATGACCTCGAGGTGGGTTTAGAATAATAAGAACAATTAAGCAAAAAAGTAAAGTAAGAGCAGTAGAGCTAAATGACAATTCTGATGAACTTTAGGCAAAAAGTAGAGAGTATATTCTTTGCTCAATAATGAGATGATCTTACAAATGATTGAGGCCCCCTTTATATAATAGGGTTACCCTAAATAAGGTATATTTCTATTTATATTAAAGAATATTGTTGATACAACTGTCTAACCGCCTAGTACAAAATCGTACAATCATATTCCGGGATTTGCGTCATGATTTTGGGGACGTGTCAGGAATCTAGCCATTCTGTTACAAATCAATAATGGTACTATTGCGGGGTCGAGCGTACTCGTCTTCGGCGTCCATTGTACTTTGATCTTTGGTCATTGCATCCTACCTTCGAGCTCGGATCCAATCCATCGGGCTCAAACTCGGGCTCGAGATGAACCCTCGAGCCTATAAATCGAAGGCCTCTGATTTTGACCGTATACACTTGGCATGTATACTAAAAATAGATTTCATTTTTACTTGTCATTTTACGCATATTAAGAGAAGACAATTTTTTTTTCCTGATATACCTGATGGAAAACAGGTATAAACAGCGGAAGCAAATAGCCAGGATCACTTGCATGTAATATAGACAACACATAATCACAGATTTTAATCGAACATAAAATCGATACTTATCTCTTGAAGCGTGACTGATCACGCTCAACTGAGTCTCGCAAAAGACTACGCGGGCGTTGCAAATATAATCTGAGTATTTATGCCCAGAGTCGAACCATAGAGAATTAACCTATCAATTACTATTGTCGGATTTACTAAATTCACACAATCTGTTTCCCCAAACTTTCTGATTCATAATGGTTGATTTTTCTAACAACTAAAGACTAAAAGTAATCAACAGCTGAAAATTAACTAAACTTGATGTGTAAACAATTGGAATAAGGTCTAAGGCAATGGTTTCCCCCGTTGGTAATTTCCTTGGTTGTATATGTCTTATAACTATGATTTAGTTGTCTCTATCAATCATGAACGCTCCAGCTATCATAAATCTTTCTCAAGCAATTATGATAATTTACTAGACGCACTCTATAAAGCTACGCTAGCTAGATTCACAATACAGTTCACTTAGATTGCACCCGAGGTATCGTTATCTCTAATCCAACCTCTAAACCCTCGGTTATGACTCTCGTCTATACTCCGGGAGTGATGTTGTTCATACAATCACCTAAATATGCACTCTCTCTCAAGTAGATACATAATAAATAGGAACAGATAATTGAGGGCACTTTCAACTAACCACAATCAAAACATAGATGAACAAATAGAGATTAACAACCAAATCCAACTATATTAATAAAACAACCAAGTCATCCCCAACGGGTTCCACCAAAACCTTAGATTAAGGTATTTAGCTACTCGTAACAATGGAGGAATAAACTACTAGAAGATTCATCATCAAAGATTGCAAGAAAAATAAAAGAGAATAAGAATAATGATGTTTTTGGTGATCTCTCACACTTGTTTCTCTTGCCAAAGTACTCTCAAAAGTAAGTTTTACCCTATGAAAACCTTGATTATTTAACCTTGGGCGAGCTTGACTTTATATAGGTTAAGTGGGTTTCTCTCCAGATTTCCAATTTTACCCCTAAATAATTCTTTTCCGGACCGGCCTCGCGCGAGCTCGCGGGTCATTCTGCCTTAGCCCTTTACGCGCGCGAACTACTGCGCTAACTTGCGCATCTGCTCGCGCATCTGGGCCATGCTTTCTTCCATTCTTTGTCTCGTTCTTGCGCGCACTCAGCTCCGAGGGGCCGTTCTTGCTCATAAATCATTCCAATAGCCTCTTGAAAGCATCATATTAGCTCCTCATCCTGCAATGTATACAAATCACAATTAGAGCCTATTTTTAATCAATTAACCATATTATTACATTGGAATATAATCAAGCGGAAGCATAAACAATAGCTAAATCACCTAGATTTCGCCTATTATCAGTGACCGCGATCGCAAGAAGCCTCCAAGCAAGAACGAAACTATCCACGAGACCGTCCTCCAGTTCCACAGTCTTCTGCTGTGTGACCCGAATAATGTCCGAAATTAGCGAAACTCGTGTGGGCGAGTTTCTCCTAGGAAAACCATGTAGTAAAAATTATTTTCTCCTTATGGAATAAGACCCCTTTATATAGCCAAAGCTTTTAGGGCTTAAAACCTTAAAAGAAATTTTAAAAAAAACTCTTTCTCTCTCGGCGCCCGTTAAGTGCTCTAACCTGCGCCTCGTCGGAAAATGGGAGGAAGAGGACGACCAAGGAAGAACACTAGCAATCTCACTGATGTCAGCGTTAAGGAACAAGGAAAGCAATCAGTAAAAGCTAAAGAGAAAATGAACGAAGAAGACGATCTAGATCTAGAAAGTGATAATGAACTGAATTGGCCAGATCTGAGCACTGCTCAGCTGAAACTGGCAGCACCAGAGAAGATAGTGACCAAAGCGACACCAATGATGAACTCCGGAACAAAAAACACACATGCAGGGAAGATCGGAGCTAAAGAGGAAAGTTCGAGCAAAAATCCAAGAAATGGAACAGTAAATTTAAAGGTAACCATGGAACAGAGGAACAAAGCACAAGGAAACGAGAAGAGTATGCAGGACAAGCAAACGCAGGGAGCTGGGGGAAGATCGTGGGTGGATTGTTTAGCGAAAACAAACTAAAGGAATGAATCTCTCATATATTCCACCAGTGGTACAAGATGGTGAAGTAGTGATACAACTGTTGGAAGATGACATAGAGGAGGAACAACAGAAATGGAATAGAGCCTTAATTTTATATGTTGTGGGAAACATCCCAACAATTGGAGCAGTTGAACGATTTATAGCTCAACAATGTGGGAAAATCAGGAAGCCAAAGGTACTGTTTCACAGTGACGGTTATTTTATTGTTTTGATGCATAGTACTGAAGAAAGGGACGATGTTATAATGAATGGCCCATACACATTGGATAATAGACCAATTATCCTAAGGCCATGGAAGGAGGGGTTTGATTTTGAGGATGAGATTCTCAGAACTATCTCACTATGGGTGAAATTCCCTAAACTGCCACTTAGTTACTGGAGTAGCAAGGCTCTAAGTAAGATAGGGAGTGGGCTGGGTAAACCTCTATATGTTGATGCATGTACAACTATGACTGACAGAGTTTCATATGCAAGAGTTCTAATCGAGATGGACATTATGAGGCCCTTACCAAGATCAATAGAACTCTGTGATCCAACTGGGAAAAGGATTGATCAGATAGTGCAATATGACTGGAAGCCACAATATTGCCAAGAATGTTGTCAACTCGGCCACTCATGTAAGGAACAACAGCAGAAACATAGTGAAGAGGGGCAGTAGAGGACCAATAACCAGAAGCCAAAGCAAGAATGGTAAATAGTAAGGAAGCTTGATCCAAAGGTGGATAAGATAGATGGCCAAGGAAGGTTCATGGAGAATCTTGAAACAGAAGAAGGATTAGGCCCAAATAAGCAAGGGAATGGCAACCAATGGCAGATTGCTAGTGGAAGGTCTGCATCAAAAAAAACAAATGGGAGCTAAAGGGGGAGATGAAGTCAACATAGGCAATGCATTTAAAGTCCTGGTTGACATTGTCCAGAAAATAATGCAATTCTCTGAAGAACAGGATATGAGAAGTAGGAGGAGTGGACAAGGAAGTGAAGATAATCCCAAAGTAACAAATATATCATGATAAACATTATAACATGGAATGTAAGGGGAATGAATAAGGTGTATAAGCAAAAACTACTAAAAAATTTCTATAAGGAGAATAAAGTAGCAATAATAGCAGTTCTGGAAAATAGAGTAAAAGAAAGTAAGGTTGATGCACTAATGAGGAAAGTATTTTGGGATTGGAAGTGGGTAACCAACTATGAAGTAGCACCGGGTGGGAGAATTTGGGTTGTTTGGGATCAGACAAGGTTGGAGTTTGAAGTCAAACAAGTACATGATCAATACATAGCAGGGCAAATAACCATGAGGCAATGTAACAGTAACTTCTTTTTTGTTGCAGTATATGGAAAACATAATATCCAAGATAGGAAGAGTATGTGGAATGATCTCAAAAGGACAATGAATGGAGTAAATTGGCCAAGTGTTGTAATGGGGGATTTATGTCCATTGAAGATAGAATACAAGGGAACCCAGTACAAGATGTGGAAGTGAGAGATCTTAAAAATTTTATAGGGGAGGCTGGATTGATTGAAATGAGAACAATAAGGAGATATTACACATGGACAAACAACACTGTGCATAGTAGAATTGATATAATCCTAGTCAATGCAGAATGGATACAAAAGTGGCCTCAAATGGAGGGGATCATCATGCAATCTGAGTTTTCTGATCACTGCCCATTGATGATAACTATGGCTGAAGATATTGTACAGGGGAAGAGGCCTTTCAAGTTTTTTAACTGCCTAGCTAACCATCAAAAGTTTGAGGAAATAGTGAGTCATTGCTGGAGGAGGAAACATAGGGGCAACAAGATGCAAAATGTCTGGTACAAGCTTAAAACAATGAAAGGTGAACTAAAGAAGCTAAACACTCAGGAATACAGGAGTGTGTGGGATAAGATACAAGAAACAAAAAACAAATTGATACAGCTACAACAAGTTATGCAATCTCCAGAGAATGATAGTGCAGTCATAGAGGAAGAAAAGAAGACTAAAATGGAGCTGGCTAAATGGATGGAAGTAGAGGAAAGCATAATGAAACAGAAGGCTAGATTCAAGTGGCTAAAAGAGGGGGACTCCAACACAGCATATTTTCATGCTTGTGTGAAAAACAGACAGGCAAGGAACACATTGGAAGACTTACAAATAATGAAGGGCACATACTGCAGAACACAAAGGAGGTTAAAGAGGAGATCCTACAGTTTTATAAAGCACTACTAGGTACAGCAGCCTCTGCTTTGCCAATAGTGAATCCAGATATAATAAGGAGTGGGAATATGCTGAGCAGGAATCAACAAATGCAGCTAATAAAGCCAGTCACAAAGGAAGAAGTACTGACAACTTTGAAGGGTATAGATGATAGCAAGGCACCAGGATGTGATGGATATAATGCCTATTTTTTCAAAAGGACATGGAGTATAACAGGGAAATTACATCAGCAGTATTGGACTTCTTTGAAAATATAGATTTGTGCAAAGCCATAAACTGCACTACTATTACCTTGATCCCTAAAGTGAAGAATCCAACAAATATCAAGGAATTTAGGCCTATTTCCTGCTGTACAATGCTATATAAGATAATCTCTAAGATCCTAACAACAAGATTACAGGAAGTCATGCCAGAATTAATAGACAAATGCCAAACAACTTTTGTTCCAGTGAGAATGATAGCTGATAACATCATCATGAGCCATGAGCTGGTTAAAGGTTATGGAAGGAAAAACATATCACCAAGGTGTATGCTGAAGATTGACATGCAAAAAACATATGATTCTGTGGAGTGGATATACATAGAGCAAATGATGAAACTACTGGGATTCCCTGAGAAGTTTGTTAGGTGGGTAAATGGAATGCATCAGTATTGTGCACTATACAATAATCATCAATGGGCAACCAGCAAAACCTTTTGAGGCAAGGAAGGGGCTTAGGCAGGGTGACCCATTGTCTCCTGTGCTATTTGTGATGGCAATGGAGTACTTGAGCAGACTATTGAAAACCTTAAAGGGGAACAAAGAGTTCAAATACCACCCTAAGTGTGCTAAAGTCAATTTAGTACACTTAGGTTTTGCTGACGATTTGTTACTTTTTTGCAGGGGAGATATACAATCAGTCAAGGAAATGCATCAACAATTTATAACCTTTTCTGAGGCATCAGGACTAAGTGCAAACCAAAACAAGAGCTGCATATACTTTGGAAGAGTTGACCTTGTGAACCAAAGAAGGATTATGGATATGCTGGGATACAACAAGGGAGAGTTACCCTTCAGATATTTAGGGGTACCTTTAAGCACAAAGAAGCTATCAATTATCCAATGTGAGGCTTTGATTGATAGGATGCTGAATAAAATACAATGCTGGACATCAAAATTCCTGTCATATGCAGGGAGAGTTGTGCTTATAAAGAGTGTCTTGACTACAATTCAAAACTTCTGGGCTCAGATCTTTATCTTGCCAAAGAAGATATTTTAGTTCATTGAAACAATATGTAGAAGGTTCCTATGGTCAGGGAATGCAGAGCCTACTAGGAAGGCACTGATTGCTTGGAAAAAGCTGTGCTGTCCAAGAGTTGCAGGTGGTTTGAATTTTACTAATGTGGAACTATGGAACAAAGCTGTCATTTGCAAGTTACTATGGAACATATGCAAGCAGAAGGAAAAGTTATGGATACAATGGGTTAATGCTTACTACATAAAAGGAAATACAATATGGAATACAACACCTAAGAATGCATCTTAGGTCATTCAACAAGTCTTCAAGGCAAAGAAGTATTTTGAAAATGCTGGCTACACTGAACAAGAGGTGCACAGGATAGACAGCTTCTCAATCAAACAAATGTATAAAGCCATGCAGGGGGAGTTTCAGAAGGTAGCTTGGAGGAAAATAATATGCAACAACTATGGACTTCCAAAATGGATATTCATATTGAAAATTGCAATTCTGGAAAGATTAGCAACAAAGAAAAGATTAGCAAGATGGGGAGTTAATATAGAAACCTCATGTGCACTATGCCAACAAGGGACTGAATTAGTTCAACATTTGTACTTTGAATGCGAAATGACAGGAATAATATGGCAGCAACTGCTGCATTGGCGAGGAATACAGAGGAAGAAGCTGAAATGGCAAGAAGAACTGGCATAGATACAAAGAGTAGCAAAAGGAAGAAGTGGAGGAGCAGATTTATGCAGAATGACTTTAGCTGCTGCAGTTTACTATATATGGCAGGAAAGAAATAATGTCATCTTCAAACAGAAAAGAAGAACAGCAGCAAACATAGTCAGAATGATTATTCAGGAAATCCACATTAGAGCCACCATGTTCCCTAGGTTAGAAAGGACTATGACCAAAGTGAACTGGTACCCGGATACAATGGAACAATGATAGAGGATAGAAAAGTAGGAAAGTAGAATTGTAGAAGGACCCAAACTGGGGCTGCATGTCCAGTGGGGTGGTCTGCTCGTTTGTCTCTCATGTAAATATTTTTAGTTGGTAAATAAAGTCAATTAATTACCAAAAAAAAAAATTATTCGGTCACAGTAGGGTCCGCAATATTTAATTAACGAGCCTTCCTATTATGGACTTAATTTGAAATATCCGAATTAATACTGCCATAATAAATTACGAATTATTTCACTAAAAATTTGTAACTGTACTCCTCAGTTCAATTTCGGAATTCTTCCATTAAATCTTATTTAACTCCCCATGTTAAGATTCAGAGACTAATCAAATAAATTAAATTACTGACAATTTAATTCATTGATTATTCCTTTAGACTTTCGCTTAACTTATTTCATGTGACGGATAAAAAATCCACCTGCAGGGTTTACACATGAAAACTTATAAGCTTTCATAAAGGTGTATCATCAATCTCTAAACCGAGACATGGATTCCATCAACTACATATTACTTTGCCAATGTACATTGTTATTATCCAATTTACCAGGCATATTGACCCACGAAAGGATCTCGCCTTTTAATAAACCAAAACAATAATAATATACACAGCTAATAATAATTATATCAAGATTAAGAGTATAAGTACATTTAATGCTAGAGAGTTTGTTTTATTAAGTCAGTATAAAATACTTATCTCTACTTGGTCCGTTCAATACATACAAAATGTACTAGCACAAGAAGTCGGAATTAAACTATTCCCATAATCAAGATAAATTATATTTAATCTTGTGCTACAATCATTCCAGATGGTTTGTCCAATTCCATCATTAGATTGTGAACCTGATCTTTATACTTATAAGAACCGATGATTTAATCTTTCGTGTATAAGCTAAACTCTATACACTAAATCATCTACTATATAAGTAAAGGACACAAATGAATATATGATCTATTTAAAACTTTATTAAAATTGAATAAACAATTGTTCCATAATAAATACTATATCCAAACCAAAATTCATGGTTAATAGTATATATCCCAGCAATACCCACATTATTTATTACTCATTTTAAATTATTTTCTCAAATCCAATAAAATATGCATAAATTAATATGGGTATCATGGTAAATTATGCACTTCATTTATCATTTCTTAAGGGGCGTGAAAAGTCAAAACGTGTCAAGTAAAAGTGAATGGAGGGAGTATTAATCTGTTATCTCAAAACTGATACATTTATTAGCTTAATTTAAACTCTTTATGGTTTGTAATTGCACAT